CTGGACAGGTCTCAGGACCTCAGGGCTTCAACCCAGGGGGTTCCAATCCAGGACCATGGACCTAAAGAGTTTCCTGACAGGTTCTCTTCCTTAAAGTTAAATCTTGTGCTCAGTGCAGGTTAGATCATTGTAGTGATAGCCCTGAAGCACCCTGGGAAAATCCCAGTGAAACAACAGTCTTGAAAACATAAGATGTGGCTAATGCTACTAAAGAAGGCTGGAAAGGGTCAAAAATGTTATGCAAAGGTGGGAGAAGAATTGCTCATGCAAAGCCCATGATATTGCCTCTTTCCCTGATGTGTCGGATGATCCAGACGCACTGCAGAGACTCCTGAGTCAGGAGCCACCAGGTGACTGCTTCCACTGCCCCGTGGTGGAAGCACCGACCCTCTTCACCTGGGTCGGACACCAGTTGTTGCCACAGTTCCCTTCTCCTCCCTGACACGTTCCCCCAGTTGTGGTCAAAACACCGAAACCAGCATTTGCCTTAACCTTTGCTCATGTTTGCTTAGCCATTTTGTAGACTATAAACATTACAAAAGACAGACAACTAGCTTATAAATTACAATATATCACTAAAAAATGTGCTTTTCTGTTCTTCCTCGGAGTACCTTAGTGCAAAATAAGAGAAAAATCACTCAAACATGGCCGGTGTTAAATATTAAGACCTTATATGAAGCTTTCAAATGACTGTAATGTCTCTCCCCCTACTAAACGGCGTGAATGGAGAATATCCTGAAGAAACCTTGAAGAACAGCCCTGTTTTACAAAGTGTTTCTGTATGTCTGTTTACACTTTTTTCCTCTCTAGAAGGTTCAACTATTCGGAAATTTTGAAAGCAGAGATAAAAACCAGGGACAATTAAAATCTGCAAATGCAATGACTTAACAAGTAAGGGTGTGGGTGAGAGGATGGTGGGAGGGAAAGACGCACAGACACCGTGGAAGTGATGACCACACGACGTGTCTTTTAAAGAACACATTTTCAAGCTATGTGAGAGATGCGGCAGAGCGCTCAGCCACCCTGCAAGCATTCCGGAAGTTTCCCTGCACCTTCTTCCATGGCCCCCATTTGCATCCACAGGAACAAGGCAGCCTTTTACTTATTTGGTCGACCTGTGACCTGAAGGGTGATGAAAGACACAGCACGTCCAGGCCTTTGGGTCGAGGAACAACGAGCAGCAGAGCCGTCCACTGCGACTCACATTCCCTTAGGCTGGCTGGTGTCACAATGTGGTCTTGATGGATTGTAGCTATTGGAGAATTCCAAGGAAGCCAGGGGTTGGTGGTCAAACTGTAAAGCCTTTTTATAAGAAAGGATGCAGGTGCCTGATTCCTGTCTCCCTGAATATCACAAAGACGCTCTGCTTGCAGCTTCCCAGTGAGGTTCCTCTAACTGAATGAGCTTCCTGCAGAGATGTGTGACTACGCTCACCCAGGGCACAGATGTGAGACCTCACTTAGATGGACAGCAGCTTTTAGTCAGTCATTTGCTGAAAGATATACTACAGCTAGCTCTCAGAGATCTTCCTAACAGAGTCAAATGGCTCCTCAGGGCAAAGAAGGGTGTTATGGGGCTGGGGTACAACAAAGATTCCTTAAGGAGTATTTGGAAGACCACCAGCAGGTACCAGGCCATGAATAGATGGAGATAAGAGAACCGAGGGGAGAGCGGGAGGGGGCAGAGGGGAGATTTCTCACCCTTGTTTCCTGCCCCAAAGAGGGTCCCCAAGTCATCACTGAGGGCTGACTGATGGGAAGAAGGACTTTCAGAATCCCCCGACCAAACTGAAACAAAAGAGGAGAGAATTCTACTCCCACGATGGACGTTAGACATGGGGGCCATATATTCCTGCTGTCCCTAAAGAGTCGGTCCACCTCCCTCTAAAGAAATATATCTGCATAGACAGGTATTTACTTCGAGGAGGAGAAACAAAGCAGTTTATTGAAGGTGGAAGCAATAAACAAGAAAAAAAGTGTAAATAATTTCTGGAATTTTCTGTTTCTTTAAGTCTCTAGCAAGGGCTTTACAAAGATAATTGTGCAGAACCTTTGCTCCACATCCTATAGCACTTTATGTCCCATTACCCTACTTATCACCCCTATTAACCCTTCTGAGATTGGGACTCCCAGGGGCAGCACACCCAATGTCTACTATACCCTTGGAGTACTGGGTCTTCAAAAAATACTCCATGATGGAATGGAGAAAGAGGAGAACAATCAGCCTCTCCTGTCTGCCCCAGCCCCTGTTACCCAGTGGCGGGCACGGGTCTGACCAAGGGTGGAAGTCAGGTTAGTACCGTCTGTTACTACTGCGCAGAACAGAGACTGCTTTTAAACAGCAGCCCTAGGACCCTCAAAATAAATCTCCCATATGTAGTTGAGCATGAATAGAAGAGGCCAAGCTATTCATAAAAATGTACCTAGAAAAGTGACAAATGTCTAATTCTCTAGACGAATTCTCATAGAAACCATGGCAATCCAACCTATACACACAATAAATGAGGGACTGAGTGGGAACATATTTTAGGGTGAGCAAATGCACTGTTGTTTGCATAAATAGATTTGTTTTGTGAAAAGTGTATGAATGAAACAGACCCCTTAGAATGTGAAATTGCAAAGGTATTTTTAGTTTTACTGTAAACAGGCCACATCCTGTGAGATGGTTTTGTACAGGGCAGGTATGAGAGCCTGAGGGTCATGCTAGAGGGTCCCTGCAGCCGGGAAACCTGATTGCTGGAGCAGGAATGTGGCTAAGGGGGGCTTAGGAAGCTTTCAAAGATGATTTGTCTTAGATTACAATTTCCCAAGGATTGAAACACTCACACAATTGAACAGTTGCACAAAACTGTATGGATTTTGGTACCACTAAGGAAAGACAGGCAGAGTTAGCACTTATTTTGAACTGAAAATCGGGTTTTTCTTTGGAGGGAGCAGTTTGCTTGCTTTTCGTATACATCTCGTGACAGAGTGTTCTCTGGGGTTACGACATATCCAACCCTGTAAAAATAATTCTGGTTGAACCCTGAGACTCTACGTGTAAGAGTGTCTGCAGCTGCCGCGTCTCGGCATCCGCCTTTAGGTCTTGGTGGTGGTGGGTACACACAGTTAGTGTCCGTGTGCAGGAGGGATGCTGGGGGCGTCCATGGTGCACTGAACAGGGGCTACAAGGCAGGGAGGGGCTCCCCACATTCTTCACCTTACAGAACTACCTATGAGCACATACGAGCCAAGGGCTCTGAGCTGGCCTTTGCTAGTCTCCCATCTCTCCTGTCAGGGCTCTGTCAGCAACACGGAGTCCTTGCTTCTCAGAGGCTCGAGTCACGAGAGCTCCAGCCTGATGCACTGCCCTTTGCCATTCCCTTCCCTCGTCAGCGATGCTTCGGGCGAAAACCACTACATTTCATGCTGGCTTTTAGTTCAGGGGACAGAGGACCATGTAGCCAAGCAAAAGGATGACTTATAAAGCCTTTTTTGCAGAAATAGAACATTCAAAAGTGAAAACTGGAAATAAGGAAGGACAGGGCAGGAGAACACAGTATTTCAAGATCTTTCCTCTTCTTAATGGATCATTCATCTTATTAAAGCTGGATTGGGGGAAAAGGCGTACTTATGAGAATCTCTTTAAAATATATTTGCTAGCAAAAGGACTGAATGGGAATGATGAAGGGATAAAGAATCCATGGGAAACTATAAGGAGACAATGTGCACTCAGAACATCTTAGAGCTGAGAAATAGGATCACAGATGGAATGCGCACCCCAGGTGCTCTGCCACTGAAAGAAAAGCCTGAAATGGGGTGAAGCGGATGGTTCCTCGCTGAGAGCCGTCATGCAGAAGGGTGCTAAGTACCCACCAGTGGCCAGGAATGGCACACAGCCTGTAAAGGGAATCGGCAAGTGTGTCCTGCGCCTGCCTACATTATATCGGCATTCCGGCAAATAGGAACATTCGTATTGTGTTCCCCCGTTTCTTCTCCAGGATGGCCTGCGGCTGAGCCACGCAGAATCATCACCCTTCCCACTACCTCGTGGGTGAGCTCCAGGCACCTTCTTGAAGGGATGACTTTTGTTTCTCAGCGCTTTGCTATCGAAAGGGGCAGAGACCCTGATATGTGTCGTCATTTCCTCCGGGAGTTCACTCCTACCAAAAGGTGTGGGAAGCTGGGCTTTGTGCATGCGGATGTGGCAGATTTGAAAACGTGATGCGTTACAGAACCCAAGGGCTCCTCTGACTTAAGTAGGGGTTTTTCTCTGGGGCCCATCGTGATGTCTTCTGTGTCAGCGCGTCCTAAACCTCTCGGGAAGTGGCCTGAGGGACCTAGGTGGGCCGTTGTGTCTGTGTGAGATGTGACATCTCCCCCTTTCTTCCCCAGACCTTTAGTTGTGGATGGAAGGGAAGAATTCTGTCTGGTGTTTCTCTTCTTTCACGCAGTTCGGCTCTTTGTGTTTTGTTTTTGTTTTGTTTTTAAGCTGAGTTGAGATGGTTTAAGCTCTTTCATGGAATCAGATACTATTTCAGACTTTTTAAAAAAGTGCTATATGCTGCAGCAACTTACATATATGTAGATAGATAAGTAGATTTATATACCTTACTATGATGATCCCAGGAATAACCTACCTAACATTTCTTACAAAATTGGAAGAGATAGTTTGGAAGTTATAGCACATCTACCTAGCAGCTTTCTTTTTACCTCCTAATTTCAAGCTACTATTTTCCATGCTTCCCCTAGGTTTTTGCTATTGTGCGCTGTTCTGAAGTGTCAGCCCCTAAAGAGAGTGGCGGAAAAGGACCAAGATAACAGCCCATTCACTATCAGAAATCCTAGATTTGAAAATACTCAGGTGATGAGAGTCAGGGGGAAGCAGTGCTGGACTTGGGCAGCGGGCCTTCCAGCGGGAGGGAGCCGACACGCAAGAACCCCTCTCGGTCCTTCATCAAGGCGGTGGGGCAAACCAGGCCTCCAGCACCTTGGCGCACCCTGCGGTCTCCTACCGGGGACCGCGACAGCGCTCAGCTGCAGAGCAACCTCGCAGGACCGCCTGGCTGCGGGAATGACCGGTGCCCGAGCAACGGGAAGCATGGGCCTTGGCCGGCCTCTCGGGCAGTCGCTGCCACCATGACAGGTCACTGACAAGGAGGGCGGCGGCTGCAACAGACCTGGCCGGGCTGGGCTGCGCCAGGGGATGGATGCATGTGGGCGCAGGTGCGTTAAGGAAGTAAATGGCAAACAAATGCCACAGAGAGAGTGACCAAAATTAAAAGACAGGAGCAAGGGGAGAAGGAGGGAACACTGAACAGCCAGAAAGGGAGTATTAGGTACCCTGCTAAAATATTGTTTTTTCAGATGAAATACTCCCGCTTACACTCGCTCACTGTGTTTTGCAAGTCGATGTCATTTCGAAAGGAGCTGCCCACGTTTTCCGCGTATTCCTTCTCCATCTGGCCGGTTCGATGCGACTGCTTATGTTGGTAAAGGAACCGGGTCATGACGCCGACGACGGAGAAGATGAGAAAGATCACCACCGCTATGACCCCTGTGGGCGAGGAAGCAGAGGAGGGGTCACCCCGCGCGTGCCCATGGGCTGGCAGTCCGCGCGGGAGGACCCCCAGGGGAGCAGAGAACAGAACGCAGCAAACGGCCGCGAGCCTGGGAAGACCGGCTGGAATGCGTTCGGCCTCGGTTCCCAGCAAACCACCTCCTTTCGACTAGCGAGCAAGGAAGCCAGTTCGGTCAAGACGGTTTTATTTAATGGGCGATGGACGCCATCACATAAATAGTTAGACTAGCAAAGGCTATCTTAGTAAATTTCTTCAAGACCTGCTGAAACAAATGTGTCAGAATCGTGTGAAATCAGCGTATTTCTTTGTCCCCTTGCAACAAAGTAATTTAGAACTCCTTCAGCATCCTAGAAAATAATATTAAATATGTCCCATCCCAATACACGCTCTCCTTACGTGAATTTGTTTCCGGTATATGCCTGCCTTGCTAAGCATGCTCGTTAATAATGAAATGGGCACCCAAGCACCCAGGGATGGCCACCTCCTCTGCACTGCGCGGGACACAGGCTGCCTCACGGGCGGCATGCCTCCGCCCTCCAGAACGCGAGTCCCTGGACACAGCAAGCTGCTGCCCCGTCCTGCCAGCCCCCGACCTTGGTTGCACGTGACTTTATGGGACCCACCGGCAAGCTGACCTCACTGACCCTGAGGTCTCGTCCCGACTTTTGCCAGGAAGCCTCCTGGGGTATGAAGAGCAAAGCCGGCAAAGGGATGGTGGAAACGTGAGACTGCTGACCTTTCACAGGGAGAACACATCTTTGCATGAATGTAGGTTTTCACATTAAAATATCTGAAAACTAGTTCTAATATTCAAAGGTAAGTGTATCTTAATAAAGTGTATTTTTTGCTCTCTTGCATTTCTTTCTAAGTAGAATGGATAGTGAGAAAAATGTTTATTTTATAAGTCATTTTGAACACCCTGTATTATGACTTACAGCAATATGGACATTTGAGAGGTAAACATATTGAATGCATATCAGAGCTGGGGCCATGATTACAGCTGCTTACTTTTATAAAAATTTTCCTAAATCATTATGGGGTGCTTTTGCCCAACCATTTGAGATTAAGGCAAAGGAAACCCCCCTGTGCTAACGAACATATGAATGACTGGGTGGTAGGGAGTGGGGGCTACCACTGGGCTGCAGCTTCTGGGAGGGGGCCCAGAATCCGTTTCTGCACCCTCGGTGTGAGCACTGCTCTGAGCTGGACACTGTGCAAGCCTCGGTGGTTCTCCCAAGGAGCTGGGATGGATTTCCTGCTCTCACAGAGACTTGCAGATGCACATAAATGAGCGGGGAAATTCAGCAGGCCCAAAAGTCTTTTCTCCACTTGTCTAATGATAAATTGTAGGAAGAGACATACACATCAAATTCTTTCCTACATTTCTCGATGCCAAGTAAAGATGAAGCAGGACTCTGTCCTGGGGTGGAAATTCAGGTGAGACACAGGAGAGCTTCCTAAGGAAAGGTGGGCTGCCAGCCCACAGCCGTGCTGTGCTGGGTCACCTCTACCACTGTCTGGCTGGGCTTTGCTTCCCCGGCCCCTTCCCCACCCAGCTGTGCACCTGACCCACTGTCGGGGCTCACAAATACACGTCAAATGGGGAGGGTGCCACAAGGTGAGAGTCAGTACACACAGCTGCCAGGAGGCAGGGATGGCACAGCCGTGTGGCCTCTGGTTCTCGAATGAAATGGGTTTCATCTCTCACAGGCACCTTGCATTAAACAAGGCTCGGGGACCATTTAGTATTGCAAAGCCCAGATGGAGAAGTCAAGGTCCAGCTACTGCAGGCGGCAGCCCCACTGAGGCAGGATAAAGAGGGGCGAGGCCGACAGGCAGTGAGGAACCGGGGAAGCGAGGGAGGTGGGACGGGGCATGGGGCTCACAGCACAGCAGCCAAGGTCTGCGTCTGGGACCGCATGTGCTCCTGCATGCGAACCGCCGTCCTGCGGGTTTCAGCCCACTCGTGCCATCCCACCCAGATCGACTGGAGGGACCACCAGGCTGGCAGCCTTGCCCAGCTGTCTGCCCAAAGGAGGTTCTCCCCGTGTGCTCTACTGGTGCGCCGGGCTGGCGTTCAGGATAACTGATGACTGGAGGAAGCACGCAGGGTGCACACTGCCTGCCCCCGCAAATCCCCCAGCTGCTGACCCGGCACCCAACTGCCTGGGGGCGGGGGCAGGGGCAGGATGCATCCATGGAGCTCCTGGTGCTGGGGGCAGGTGGCCTTTGCCACAGGGCACAGGGACCATTCATGGAGAGGCTCACAGTCTTGCCCATCATGGGTGCTCTGGATGCCAGCTGGCTGTGATTACGGAGGGATTCGGAGGAGCTTCTCTAAGGTATAGAAGCATTTGTGACTCTCCTGCTTTCAGCAACAAGTAATGGTTTACCTCCAATCACCGCTGAGTCACTGCCAACTGCGTGGGTGAGGGGTTCCCGCTCGTCTGTCTTTCCGAAGGGATCTGAAAGGAGAAAGACATGACACGTCGCCCCTCACTCAGACACCTGGAAGGAGCTCCACAACACGGCGCCCAGGTGATTTATCTGAGGGTCAGAACAGGTGCTCCCAAACATTTGTGTGTCCGCATTTTGGAAGGAACACAAACAAACATACACAAAGAAGGCATGGGAAGGGCACTGCTTACACCCTGCAGGACCACACCCCCTGTGACTTCTACGTCAGCCCTAAGGTAAGGGGTTGAAACAGAGGACTGCGGGGCCCACCCATGGCTGCCGTGGCCCACAGCCTCCCACCCGCCTGCCCGGGAAGCCCCTCTCTGCTTTGCTGCTGTTTCTGGCATGCCAGTGGCCCCCTGCCTCCGGTCCTTTCTGCCTCAGAGGTTTCTTTAGCTGGTTGCAAGAGGATTCTAAGTCCACTCACAGGGAATGACAAAAGCGTTGGGAGGCCAGCACCCCCAAAACCCTCACTAATCAGAGAAGGATTTCACTGTATGTACCTTAGCATATATGGTACAGGAAAAAGAGCCTTGTGTTTGAAGGCATGCAGATCCGGGTTTGAATCCCTGCTCTAATGGTTGGGCTGGGTACATTGGGCTAGATGCTTTTTTAAAAAAAAAATAGATCTGCCATTGTATCAAAAGGGGGTAAAGATAGATATGCGCATGCATGTAGCACACAAACAATTTTCAGGACCTATACTGGCTGTCATTATTATCACTGTATCATTTAGTCCTCAGGGAATGATTGCAACATGGCATCATTTTCCCGTTTTACAGATAAGAAAATTAGATAGAAGCCATTAAAAAACTTGTCCAAAGTTCTGTATAATTTATTCATGGCAGATGCAGAATTTGAGTCCAAGTTAGCCAGCTGTCATTTTCAGGTTCTGAAACACACATTCTGCTGCCCAGGATTGAGGACAAGCAGGCAGCAGAGAAACTCAGCCCCCTTCTTTGCTCATAATTAACGGCTAATTGGCAGTTGGTTACTGCACCAGAGTAAAACAAACACCAGGCACATTTCAAGACATGCCGGATGACAATGACTAAGAAGAGACAGAAAAGGTATTTTAGACAGTGGTACAATGAGAAAAGATATAGATTATAGTGCTGTGTTTAACAATAGTGCTATTTTTAAGAAAAGCTGATTTTAATCACATGGATTATATTAATTTCAACAACCAGCCTGCCTCCCTGACCCTAAAGTCTTCAATCCTCAGAGCAGTAGCCTTAAACAGTAGTGAATATATATATATATTCACTGCCTCCAGGGAGGCAGGCTGGAGACATATATATATATATATATATATATATGTGTGTGTGTGTGTGTGTATGTGTGTGTGTGTAATACACACACATATACATACATGTATATAATGTATACATTACATATTTGTAATATGTAACCCATGTGAATATGCATTTAGCTTTAACCATTCATCAGACTTTAAATGCATATAAAATCACCCCTGAGAAGCCAGTATAGTTCTTAGCCACCTTTAACTGTACATGTGAGGCTGAGTACTATGAGCCTCAGCCTATGTGTGTCCCAAAGGCCAGCAGCAGTGCCAGTGGGAAGGCACATGGCCACCCCGAGTACCTGAGGAGGAGGGCACCGTGGTCACTGTGTCCATGTTCAAGTCCTCGGCGGGGCTGCAGCTGGATTCTGTCAAGGTACCCTGAACGGTCACAGGGGCGGTGGAGGCGTGGCGCAAGGCGGCCTTCAGCGGGGCTACGTGGTTGTACTGCACTGATGACAGGCACCCGACGAAACCCAGGCTGTTTGCTTTAGCGACGTCAGCATCCCACCCAAGGGGCTCTCCAACATGAAACAGAAGCAGGCTTTTTTCAAACTATGCTCCATATGCTCCTTAAAAAATATCTAAAACTACAGAAATTACCTTGTTATTCTCTGAGTAAGGGAAACCATCCCCTACCTCTCTTCATCTCCTTTTTCGAAACTCCACCCCCACTGTAAATATCAATACATCAACCATGTATCAGTGAAAACTGCCTTGGCCATCTCTGCTTGGTGATAATGTTTCAAACTTCTATATTTTCATTCATGTGTTTTACAAACTATAACAAACACTTAATAAATCAGCTCTGCCCTCCAGATGTTTTATAGAATGTACATCATTATCTCTATCACCCTTTATCTGGACATTGATGATTAGCTCAAGCACACTACAGTGCTCATGACAACATTTTCACTCAAAAATGTAGCAAGAATAAAAAAGGAAAAGAAAAGAGGCAGCCAGAGAGATTAGAAGTCAGGGGACCCTCCCAGAAGTTCAGCACTTCTAAGTGGCCTGTATAATCAGACTGCCTATTTTCACCTGCTTAGTTTTGTCCATGGTACTGACTGGTGAGCACAGACTTTTCCGTCACAGCACTTGACCTCCCAAATTATCATTGAGTCTTTATAAAAGATGAGGAGACAATCATTTATGATTCACTGTAAGATCAAATGTCTGATTTTCTCTAAGATTTGTAGTAAGATGACTCAGAAGCTCATTTCTTTCTTTTGACACAGATTATCTGAACAATTTGTTCCGATGCAATTACACAGAACTGAAATACACAATGCACTGTTATTTTTTTCTTGCGGTTTAATATTTCAATATGCCTAGATTGTTCAAATAGATATTTTATTACATTAGTCTGTTTATTTTCTGGGAGAAAGCAGGGAATGTCTTCTCTATGAGTGTAGATTATAATTTATTTTGATTCACAAATGATCAAAGAGTGCTTCCATGTCTCTCCAAGCAAGTATTGTGTTAGCTGCACTTAGAAATAGATGCAATAAGAATACGAAGAAAAATGAGCAATTAGCACCCTTAATAATGCCTTTTCTAGTTTTTCCCTTATTATACTCTCCCTCCTCAATACCTCTGTAAACCAAAGTACTTTGTCATCCCTCTATTCTTACAGGGAAAGAAGGAAACAATGTGTTAGTTTTATGTGGCCATTGTAGCAAATTACTACAAACTTAAACAACTAAACAACTTAAACAACTAAAATTAAACAGCACAGAATTTATTGTCTTATGGTCCTGTAGAAGACTGACACAGATCTCACTGGGCAAAAATCAAGACGTGAGCACGGCTGAATGTCCTGTAGACGTTCTAGGGAATCTGGGGATTCATTTCTTCACCTTCTCTAGTTTCTCTAAGCCACCAAGTCTCCTTGGCTTACAGCCCCTTCCTCTTTCCAAAGCCAGCAATGTTGCATTCCCTGGTGCCTTTCCTCCACAGTCACATTTACTTTGAATTCCATTCTTTTGTCCTTACTTTTTACTTTTAATGACGCCCGGGATTACAGTGGGCTCACCCAGATGCTCCAGGAGAAACTCTCGATTTTAAGGCCTGCTGATTAGCATTATTAATTGATTTTTCAACCTCACTTCCTCTGTGACACGTGATCTAACATGTTCACAGATCCTGAGCACTTAGGACTTGGATATCTTTGTGGGTCATTATTCTTCCTCCCACTCCATGTCTGAGATTCCCTGGGGACTGGCTAGGTGATGGTGATGAAAATCCAGCAGATATGAAGTCACCTGCTTCAAGTGTAAAAGAACATTGAAGTGAGGGGCTCAGCAGTCTTCCAGGTATTCCGGTGAGCCTCCTCCAGCGGTGGTCTGCATCTGTTACTCACTCACGAGAGGAGCACGCAGGTTTATTTCTTATTATGAGCTTAGAAAGACTTTGTCTCGTCAGGGCTGCTCAGACTTCATTATGCAGCAGCTTTCCATACCAAGACACTTTAATTAAAACTGGGGGCTATCTGCCCAGTGGCACCCGAACTCAATGTGCCAGGTGTGATTCAGAATACAGAACAGCTACTGGTGGGTAGTCATCAAGGCTTAGAATTGGAGGTCAGAAGTATTTAGAGGGAGACGCGGGTGGGATTTCAAAGCAGTGGGAAGTGACATGTCATTGCAGCTCTGAAGACATGCCTTAAGGGTCTAAGTCAAAAGTGGCAGATCTCATTCCCAGAACAGAGTTAAGAAGCCTCTGCTGGGCCAAGGTCATTGAAGGGCATCACTGCAGTGACTGCCATGCATACAAGAAAGATGTGAGGATAAGTCAGGGGAAAGGCCAACAAATGACATTCTCTCCTTAAAGAAAGAAATGTTTTGAATAAGGTCTTATCCCTTATCCCCTAGGGAAATGTATTTATTCTAGATCTATAATAAGGATGGAAACTTGAGATGTTTCTGAGAAGAACTGAAGAGAACAAAACTCCTAATAAGGGAAAATACTCTCAGTCTAAGAACCATTTCTCAGTCTTGTATATACGGAGAGGCAAAAATAATGTTAGGATGGTTCCAGGTTATTTTTCCTTTTTATTACCTTGTTATGTCTAAATATATGAAAATCTACAAATACTCAATAACCACCACCTGTTGGGTACCTGTTAGGCAGTACTTGTTTTAAAGAATTATTTTTATTCCTCTCAAAAACTCTTCTGGGTGGATTCGCATCATCCAAACTTTACAGAAGAAGAAACTGACACTCAGTAAAGTCAAAAGATGCACAGGAGATTGAACATATGGCAGATTTGAGATTCAAACCAAAGACTTTATGACCTGAAAGGCCAATACTGCCTTCTTAGGAAACCCCACCGTATCCAGCAGAGTAAGGGGTCTGCATGAATCAGCAAAGAAGAAGCAGGCGCAAAGATGAAGGAAAGCCCGAGTCAGTTTGGTCCCATTCATTTCTCAGGACTCACAGAACTTTGTATGGATTGCCGGCAGAATGCAATTCCTGGTTCCTGTTATTCAGTTTTCAGGCGACAACGGCACTGGAGTCACAAGGAACTAGGTGAGGGGATCAGTGTATACGCTGGGCTACAGAACGAATTTGGGAGACAAACTGTGGCTACTTAGACGCAGGAGAATGACATGCAACCAAAGGGCCCACCCCTGGGAAGGGCCACACCTTCTCACTCTCGCCAGTATTTTCTGCTAGCATGGCCCATCCCATCAAGGAGAAATATAAGGTCTCTCCTCGTAATGTGTACCACACCTTGGAAAACCATAATATTCCATAAACTTAGTTTATGAAGCAGTGGCAGGGTTTGTGAAGACTGGCTTCAAGTAGAAAGACTCTCTACTGTGTGTAAAATGCTATCAAACAGCACCACGTGCTACAGAGGTGTCATCTGTGAAAGGCAGGGTCAATAGATTCGGTGCAGCTCATTGTTCTTATCTTAGGAAACTGCCCCAGCCGCCCCAGCCGCCCCAGCCGCCCCAGCCGCCCCAGCGGCCCCAGCCTGCGGCTGCCACGACCTTCATCAGTCAGCAGCCGCCAACGTGGTCCTCCCCAGCAAAGAGATTATGACTCACTGAAAGCTCAGATCATGATGAGTATTTTTTAGCAATAGAGCATTTTTTAATTCTGGTGTGTATCTTTTTTAGACATACTGCTGTTGCATATTCAATAGGCTACATTACAGTGTAAACTTAACTTTGATATGCACTGGAAAACCAAAAACTTCGGTAGACTTGCTTTATCGTGATACTTGCTTTATGTGGTGGTCTGGAAGCAAACCTCCGGAGGACGGAGATGTGAACGCTGATGTATTTGCTGCGAAGTTTTGCACTGAATTTCCCCTTCACACTTTGAAATGAATAACATAGTCCTGAAATTGTGAATGCCTCAGTTGCCTAGTTAACATGGACTGACTTCTTCAAACACCTTAAAACTTGACTTTTACATTAATTTGTAAGCACTCATATCTTCAAAGCAAAGCTATGACCCTTTACTAAACCAAGGGGATTTCGTGATGCATGGAAAACAGCACAAAACCAAATTTACTCCCCAAATGTGCAACACTTCACACAGTCACCATTATTTGACACTGAGTGATAGAGGTTAATTTGATAAAGGCAGTTTTTTTTCAGAATGTCAGAAGCCATTTATGACTTTTGAAACCTGAATTGTCAAAATACAGGCCATGTAGATCCATCCAAACCAGGTTTATAAGAGTAAAGCCTTGTACCAACATAAACTATGAATAAAGGAAGGCGGCGTTAATGGAATGTATGGGCGGCGTATACACGTAAAGGGGTTTCCCTCGAGAGCCCGTGGCGGCTCTGCAGTAAGACACAGGCACGCTGAACATTTAACTACCAGAAGAATCCGACTCAGAGGTTTGGGGTAAAGCCTTTAATCCTGAAAGGAGAATATCCATTGTATTTTTAAACCAGTCAGCATGCAGTTGGTACTTTGATGCTTTTCGTGGTGTGCCCACTTATCGGTCCTATGTAAATAGTCATCTTTGTGAAATGAGAAAGGGGAGCTAACGACATAAGATCCCTGAATTGCTTGAAGAAACCTAACCAGCCCTGGCCAGTCCAGGCCCAGACCCTAGGAGCCTTTGCCACGATCCCCCTGTTCTTCTCTCTGCCAAGCTTAGCACCTTCCTGCAGGTGCTGATTGCTGCTGAGACAGAAGGAACGCCACCCCTGCGGCTTGGTGCAGCCTCCTCTAGCTGACTGACACCCTCCCAGGTGCACACAGCCTGACCTGCCCGGCCTGCCCTGCACGGGCACAAGCTCTGCTTACACCCCTTGGCCTGCATCTGCTCTTCTTTGGAGGCCTGACTTCAGTTGTTGGCCACCTGTGACAGCCATGCTGTGTGACAGTGGGCACTTTCAGTCTCTAGCAAGCAGACTTCTCCATCTCTCAGTTTTCAGCCTCTTTTGGGGGATTGATTCAACAGCCCAGTAATGTTTTTAGGTGATAAAGTCTTACAGTAGAGAGAGGTCACTGTGGCTGCGGGAGCACAGAAGAGACCCCTGGCAGCACC